CTTTGTTGATAATTTTCAGGTGTTTACCTCAAGAGTGGTGCATTTTGGCAATAAGGAATGATAGTTCCTACTAATACATCTGCCAGGGCTCAGACTGAGTTTCCCATCTGAACTCTCTGCTGACAGTAACAGTGTATCCAAGTCAGGTGACCATGGCATGTGCAGGTAACCAAAAGAGTACTAGAATTGGGAGCAATTTGCATTTGGGACTTACATCTGGGACCTTAAACAAGTCCTCGACCTCTTTGAGCCTATGTTCTCCCATCTGTAAAATGAGAATAATAATACCTGTCCTGCCTACCTTAAAAGGGGGCAGAAGGAATACTGAGATGAAATAAAGTACTACGGGCTCTTTGAAAGTGTACGTTGCTATAACAATGCAACACATTTATTATCAGTTTATGACTTAGTGTCTTCCCACATCACAGACTCAGGACAGGGCGGGGCTAGGGGTTTGGGTTTTTTTCTACTCTTTTTAAAGGTATAACTATCTTTCAAAGGTGGACTCTACAAACTTAAGTTATGAAGGGACAGGGATTTTGCTGACCACTTCCCCCAGCCACCCCACTGAAGTAAGACTTTAGGTGAAGGGACCCATTCAGCCTGTTGCTTTGGCACAGAAGCATAGCCATAAACTCAATGGGGTGGCCACTGGACCCAGGGAGATTTGAGTCACTTCTCTAGCTAGATAAGCACTTTGCCCAGGGTAGGATGAATCTTCCCTTCCCCACAGAGCAGGCTCTCCCCACCAGAATAAAAGCCACGGGCCTATTGATGAAATGGAAATAGAAGGATATGGGACCCATCGGAGGAGACACGGTAACAGTGGGTGACAATTGCTCTGGAATCAGAGGACATAGAGTCCCAGCTTACCCCTTACTAGGGGGCCTCAGACATAAAACTTTGTTTCTCTGGCCCTTATACTTCGAACTGGAAAGAACAGCACCTGCTCCATGGGTTGATGAGGCAGCAGGTAAAAGCCACCAGTGCACCATGGGAAGGCAAGCTAGAGGTGGTGTCATGGCGCTGATGGGGCAGCAGTGGTAGTAAAATGGTGGTGGAGACAGAGGGGATGGTAGTGGTGTACAGCTGAACTGGATTCTGGAAGGAAAAAATGGAGTCTGTTTGAAATCACCAGAAGCCATGTCCAGGCTAGAAAGAGAACCATGTACTTCCAAGGATCCAGACCACAACAAAGACCCCTGACAAAATGGCCCTTGGCCTCCCATTCCCATGGGATCTTAGCAACCACCTTTCTAGAGTCCAGGAAGGCTTTGGTCACCAGGGGCACTCAGTGGAGGCACAAACCTCTCTGCTATGGGGATGACCCAGGGTGCCAGCAGAGGGGGGTGGGAGGTAACAGAATGCCTGCTTTCTCTTTCTGTGTGGTCCTGGGTCACTGGACCACAGAGCTCAGAGGGCTGCAGACAAGGCTGGCAACTAAATCCCTTTTGAGTTCCAACCTATAATCTTCCACTTTCTGGTGAGGCAGGCTTCAGCCATTCTAACAATCATCCAGTGAGGCCCATGTGGGACCCATTACTTCTGACCTCAGGGGAATGTCAGGTCAGATCAGGAGAGGATAACTGATCAGCTCTTAGGAAAATTGAAAAGCTCTGCTGCTCCAAGTGTGGCCCGGGAACCAGCAGCATCAGGGGGCTGGTTAGAAATGCAGACTCCCAGGCCCCGCCCCACCCCATACCTACAGAATCAGAGTTGGAATTTGAACATATTTGGGGGTATCAGCAGGGCTGCATTCCTTCTGGGGGCTCCACAGGAAAAATCCCTTTCCTTGCCTTTTCCAGTTTTAAAGGCCACCTAAATTCCTTGGCTCTAGACTCCTTGCTCTACCTTCAAAAACAGCAGAACATTCAAGAAAATTTAAGAGCACTAATACAGTGAGCTGCATCTAGACTTACACTCTTTCAGTCTCTGGTGTTGTCTTTCACAGTATTAAATATTCATTCCTGTTCATTCAATAGATATTCCATAGGCACCTACCTCATGCCAGACATTGTGCTAGACTCAAGAGACAATCTGGCACAGTCTAGGTCCCAAAGAGCTCTGGAACAGTGTATGCTTCAAAGAAATGGAAGCCAAGGCCGTGGTCATAGCCAGTCTTCTGGGGCTGATGTTTCCCTGGCTGCATTCAGGGAGATGCCCAGAGCTACCTTCCCTTGTAGATACCTCTCCCCTTGCTGTTGAATGGCAGAATACAATGAGCAGTTATGACTGCAAGTGCTAGAATTAGTACCTTGCATACTGTAGGGATATACTGTACAGACATAGAACAGAATTGCTCAGCTGTGGCTAACTGCCTTGCCTTCCTCTCCTTCCTTCTTTCTCTACAATCGTCCTACCCTGAAGAGGCCTCCTTTAGTCTTTTCTACCATTTTTTCCCTAGGTCTTCCAAAAATCTCCATGTGCATTTTACCAGCGTATATATAGCAAAAAAAAAAACAAAAACAAAAACAAAAAACAAACAAACTGGGGCTTCAACCAGTCTCAAGAGTTTGTTTTAAGCTAGAATGACAAATACACATCATTTACCCCTGACGCACAGCACTTAGAAACATCTATAGCTTTGTAACGTGATTCTTCCTTTTGAAGATTCTTTGGCTCAGATGCATAGTTGGGGCAAGGCAATCACCCGCCCACAGGCGCCAGGACGCTGGGACGCCTCCAGCAGCCCCCCTCCCCAAAGATTAAATGCAGCTGTAATGCTCTGATGTTCCAGGCCGCCCAGCAGCTGGAGAAGATTTCGAAGGGCCAAGGGACTTCCCCTTTTCTGCTATTAGCAGCAAACACAGCTCAAACTCCGAGGAGGAGGCGGGGGGACAAAGGGAGCAAGAATCAAGCAGGGCTCTTTGAAGTAGTGTAATCCAAACTCACATCCAGGCTAGGAGGTGGGGATTTTAGAAACGTGTTCCTACAGAAGAGAATAAACCATTGGGTTGTTCCAAAGTGGTGGCGCAGAACAGACGGCCTGTCCAAGAGCCTGAGCCCACACCCCACCCTGGTTCTCCCCTGCCTGCACCCGGCGCTAGACTCCTTGTCCACGATCAGTGTTGTGGAGGCGGCGGGTGGCGGGTGGCGTAGACTCCAACCTCCCCGGTGATTGTGATGGATATTAGGTGACGTCCTCCGGAGAGCCCTGAACCTGATCTCCAGGATGGAATGTCTGGCATAGAGTCCGTCTTACTAAAAAGAAAGAAAACGGCCTCTGGCTTTCCAAGTAAAAACAATATATAGAGACAAACTGCCTCTTCCCAAGTCCTTGTTTACCATAAAGCTGACGTAGATGAGCTCATGTGTTTACCCAAGGCACTTGGGTTTTCAAAACACAGAGGAGCTGGAGAACTCGGGGGCGTGCGCAGGCTGGGAACGGGGAGGAGAGAGAGAGGGAGCCAGTGTAGCTTCAGAAGCTCCATGAAAAGGTAGATGCCCCACCTCCTTCATCCTCACAACTGCAAGGATATATATGAGGAAGGCATAATGGAACCCATTTTCGAGATGGGGAAACCCGAGCTCAGGGAGAAGAGTAGTAGTTCTCCAGGAACACCCACATGGGTACAGCCACACCAGGATTCAGAGCCTGCTCAGCCGGACTCCGAATGCTTTCCTCTACGACCCACTGTGTTCAGAAAGCCAACAAAAATTCCAGAAACCTCCCCCAGGGAGGGCCAAGGAGGAGCCAGACAGGTGGAAGGTTGACTTGTAATTAAAGCTTGGAAAATCCATGACGTCCTCAGGAAACTGAGAACTCACACCACGTTTGCAGGCAGTGGAGTTGGGGCTCAGGCATCGGTGGTCCTGCCTCCTGAAGGCCCGGCCACTGCTCATCTCAGGGCCGATCCTGGCAGGCAGGCACCTCTCTTCCACCAGCCATGGAGCTGCCCTTCTAGCTACATCTGCTGCAATGAAACCCGCACGTCCCCCAGCCTCCTTCAAGCCATCCAGTCACCACCCTCGTTCTTACGTGGCTTTCCTTTTGAGGCCCGCAGCCCCGTCTACATGGCTGTGCTGGATGGAAAGCCTCACCCAGCTCCAAACCTGACGGACTTCCGGGTGGCTTCCGGGAAGCTACTACCTTCGCTTCTCACCAAAACGGAGACTCCCCTTTGCGTGTCCCACACTTGGGCCCTAATGAACCCTCATCATTTGTCAAATGCAGTTACTAATGTGGACACAGCAAGTTTCTGGCCACCTCCCTCAGAATCCAGCTCCACAAGTGGGTGGCTCTCCTCCCCTCGGGGTCCACCTCCGCCAGCAGGTCTCGGCATGCCACCCAGTCCAGGTCACCTGAGCCAGAACCATTCACAGGTGCAGCAGACACTGTCTGTGGGATGGCCACGAGGACTAAGGCATGACTTAGCACGGATGTATAAACTGTGTAGGACAGAACTTCCGCTGCCCGGCAGTCAACAGGTATGAGATTTAATCACAGCACTGGAACAACGAATGGCTTTTCACCAATAACTTTTGATGAAGTGATGTAATGATTTTAGCATGACATATCTAACTGGGGCACCCCAGTCCCCGAACACGGGTCATATGGACTTTCTACTCTTCATTGCTGGAATAACAAAGCCTGGAGAGGCAGAGGTGCAAAATGAAAACCTAACAAGCCCAGTCAAGCAGATGGTGCCGGAGGGGGGGGGGATACCCCACTTTGCCACCGCAGGGAGCTGGGGAAACAGAGGTGAGGAGAAGGTGCCGAACATGCTGTGAGATGTGGAGACCTCAAGTTGCTCACTGACGGCATTCGCTCAGGCAAGGTGGCTACCTGGACACTACCGAGTGACAGCACAGGGAACCGGAACACGGACAGCCCAGACTCTGCGGCCTACACTCAACAGCACAGTGCAAGCTGGCGGGGAGCCCCACCTCCGCTCTGGCCCGGCCTGCACTTTAGGCCTTGGCTCCCCCCACCGGGCCTGGCCATCCCAGCCGGCTGCTCTTCCCTCCTCCTCAGGGCCCCCGCTCCCCGGTGCCTTTACCTGTTGCCCCTTGACAGCCTTCTCCTCCCAGGAATCAGCCTGCAGCAGGACGCCCTGGTGCCTCTTCAAAGCCGACACCGCAGACTTGCCAGGACACACCTCACCAGCCACCCGACGACTCCCCCCTACAACCCAGAGAGACGACCCGCACTTGCTTACTGACCTTTTCCACTCTCTCCTGAGCCACCTTTCACAGAATCACCTGGAGAGCTTGTTAACTCACAGACTGCTGGGATCCGGTTTAATTTATTAGTGGGCCTGGAAGGAGGCTAAGAATTTGTCTTTCTAACAAGTTCCCAAGTGACGCGGCTGCTGTTGGCCCCAGGACCACCTCTGGAGAACGGCTCTGCCAGAGGAGGCCTGAGTGCTCGGAATCAGTGCAAGGCACAGCCAGCCCACAGCCATCCTACAAAACCTGCCTGTTTTTGGAACATGGCAATGAGAAAGAATGAAATCTGGCCACGTGTAGCAACATGGATGGAACTCGAGGGTGTTATGCTGAGCGAAATAAGTCAGGCAGAGAAGGACAGATACCATATGTTTGCACGTATAGGAGGATTAGGAGGAACTTAATGGAGGACCGTGGGGGAGAAAAAGGGGGGAAATGGTGGGGGAGAGGGAGGGAGGCAAACCATGAGAAACTCTTGAATGCTGAGAACAAACTGAGGGCTGATGGGGGTGGGGAGGAGGGGAGGGGGGTGATGGGCATGGAGGAGGGCACTTGTGGGGATGAGCACTGGGTGTTATATGGAAACCAACTTGACAATAAACTACTTAAGGAAAAAAAAGACCACCAGAAAATTACTAGAACTGATCAATGAATTCAGTAAAGTCACAGGATACAAAATCGATGTGCAGATATCTGTTGTACTTCTATACACTAATAATGAAGCAGGAGAAAGAGAAACTAAGAAAACAGTCACATTTGGGGGCACCTGGGTGGCTCAGTCAGTTAAAAGGCCAACTTCTGCTCAGGTCATGATCTCGTGGTTCATGAGTTCAGGTCCCACGTCGGGCTCTGTGCTGACAGCTCAGCTTTGGATTCTGTGTCTCCCTCTCTCTCTGCCCCTCCCCTGGTCATGTGCACTCACTCTCTCTCTCAAAAATAAATAAACATTAAAAACATTTAATAAAAAAATTTTTAAAAAGAAAACAATCCCATTTACAATTGCACCAAAAGTAATACATAGGAATAAACCTAACCAAGGAGGTGAAAGACTTGGACTCTGAAAACTATAAGACATGGTTGCAAGACAGACTTCTTACTGAAATCCAGGCAGCAGTGGAGTCCAGGTTCTTAGCCTCCCTTGTATTTACAATGCTGGCAAGTGACAGGGGCCAGCTCCCCCCCACCCCCGGCCCACCACCACCCCCACACTCCAGGAAGGCATTCTCCGAGTTCCTCTTTGGGCCCCTCCGAGTGGCTCCTTCTGGCTGAAGTGCCCATCAGTATTCCATTCATTTACAAACCATGGAGTTTCGTGCACTGGAGGTAAGGTGAGTCTGCTGCCTTCCCACATCTGGGGAAGAGAACACTGCGCTTGAAGTGAAGGAACACAAGTCACTAACTGGATAAGTGACCTCAATCAGTGTCTCCACGTCACCGAATCTGCTGCTGCTTCTGTTAAGGAAGAAAAAAATCTGTCCTAATTCATAAGGTTATCACAAATGGCATGATGATGTAGTGTGACATTACTTATTTTATGACATTATTCATTAGCATTTGCTGTTACTTTTTCTAGGACAGGATTATTTACCCGCAAGCAGCTTTCCTCTGGCTCTAGGATACTTTCCTGAGCCCCTCTTTCCTCCTTTATGTTTTCCCCTGGTGGCTATATTCATTAAGCACTTGTTGAGCTACTTTTCCTGCCAAACACTGCACCAAACACCATAGTCCAAAAATGAAGCAGACAAGATACTCAGCCTTAAAGAGCTCTCAGTCTAGTGAGAGTGATAGCAAGTGTCAAAAAGTCCCACTTGAGCAGGACATTTTGATACAGGAGTGTACAGAGGGCACTTGGAAGCAGACGTGAGGTCTGTGGCAGTTCCTTAGTTAGTCTTCCTTCTGCCTTAGTAATAGAACTCCCGATTTCTAGTTTGATATAGGGCCACACAGAATAAAGATTATGTATATTTTCCATCCTCCCAGACAGTTAGATGTGACCATGTGACTAAGTTCTAGCTAAAGGGATATAGTCGGAAATGGTATAAGGATACTTCTAGAAAACCTCCTTAAACGGCAATTGGCATGGAGAGCTTGAGTGGCTCAGTTGGTTAAGTGTCTGATTTTGGCTCAGGTCACAATCTCACGGTTCGTGGGTTCGAGCCCCGCGTCAGGCTCTGTGCTGACAGCTCGGAGCCTGGAGCCTGCTTCTCCCTCTCTCTCTGCCCCTCCTCTGCTTGCACTCTGTCTCTCTCTAAAATAAATAAACATTTAAATTTTTAAAAAATACAGCAACTGGCATGTGCCCTTTCCCCTTACCCCTGCCTCTGTCTTGTTGCCTGAAATGCAAATGTGATGGCTGGAGCCCCAGCTGCATCTTAAACCATGAGGATAGGGATGTTCCTAGGATGACAGAGCAGTGAAGTGTAAGGAGTCTGCATCTCTGACAGCTTTGTATAAACTGTTCTGGGCTGCCTATCTCCAGAGTGTATTCACATGAGAGAAAATAAACCATCTCACTTTAAGCCATTATTATTTTGGGTTTTCTGACACATATAACTAAACCTGATCACCAGATCATGAGTGCCTCAGGACTTTGGACTTCATTATATGGGCAAAGAGGAGCTATAGGCGGTTTACTGTGGAGCAATGTGATGTAGAGAAAAGAGGGAGACACAATAGAAATGACCCAAGCTGTAAGGAGACTGTCAAAACTTATTTCTATCAATAGAAACGAGGAGCTCTGGGGCGCCTGGGTGGCTTAGTCGGTTAAGTGTCCGACTTTCGCTTAGGTCATGATCTCGCAGTTCGTGGGTTCGAGCCCCACATCGGGCTCTGTGCTGACTGCCAGCTCAGAGCCTGGAGCCTATTTCAGAGTCTGTATCTCCCTCTCTCTCTCTGACCCTCCCCTGCTCACACTGTCTCTCTCTCCTAGAAATAAATAAAAATATTACAAAAAAAAAAAGAAACGAGGAGCTCTGATGTGAAGAAAAGGCAGATGAGCACGGTGTTAGACATGTGGCCTTCAAGTTGTGTGCAATGACGGCAAAGCCCAAAAGGGAGCTGGAGAGGTGGAAGCGAATCTTGAGAGAGAGATAAGGCCTAATGCTATAGGTTTGGAATCACTCATGTTAAAGTAATAGCTGACATGCTACATCATGGACAAACTTTGAGGACTATAGATTCAGAAGCCTCTCAGGAACTTTCCTGGTGGGATCTGAAACTGACCCCCATATCCAGAGGGCAAGGAGAGAGCAAAGAAAGAGGCCACTCCATGTTGCTAGGTGGCAATTCTAGTAACAGCAAAGGGAACTTACATACAAGGCTTATCTTGGGCAGCAGCAAAATGAATGGACCCCTGGATCCACCCTCCAAATTTTAAAAGTTTATAAAGAGGCTCTAACTGGACTCAGTCACGTATACCATGCAGGTGTTTTCAACACCACATCCCCGTGTCAAGGCTGTGTCTTGGGAGCAGGCTCTGGGTGTGGGAGAGGCAAGTGGAATCCACACTCCAAGGACACAGAAGGGGTAAGGAGCCTCCAGGTGCCTGGGTCCAGCTCATGGGTCAGTCGGCGGTCACGTTTTCTTGATAATGTTCCCCAACAAGGATATTACGCAAAGTGAGATAAGTCAGTCATAAAAGGATAAAAACTATCTGATTCCACATATATGAGGGACCTAGGGGAATCAAATTCATAGAGACTGAAATTAAAATAGTGGTTGCAGGGCTGGGGGGAGGGGAGAATGGGGAGTTAGTATTTAACAGGGACAGAGTTTCCGTTTTAGAAGATGAGAAAGTTCTGTAGACGAACGGCAGAGACAGCTGTGCAGCACTGTGAATGTTCCCAATACCATCACCCTGAACACTCACGAATGGTAGGATGGTAAATACTACATACATCATAAATACAGGAAGGAAGGAATGAGGGAAGGAAGGAAGGGAGGGAGGAAGGAAGAAAAGAAATATCTAGTAACTTCTAAAGTAATAGGTGAGGGGCACTTGGGTGGCTCAGTTGGCTAAGCATCAGACTTGTGATTTTGCTTCAGGTCATTATCTCACATTTCGTGAGACTGAGCCCCACAGTGGGCTCTGTGCTGACAGCGCAAAGCCTTCTTGGGATTTTCTCTCCCTTTCTCTCTGCCCCTCCTCTACTCATCCTCTCTCTCTCTATCAAAATAAACATTAAAAAAAAATAGCAATAGCTGAAACCCCCAAAGTAGGCGAAGTTTCCTGAGAAAGAGGAAAAAGTGAGCCAGAAAGGCTCACCTTTGAGGAACAGAAGAAAGAAGCTGGTCTAAGGAAAGAGAGAAGGTTGGCTTGAGAGGTGTGAAGAGAAGGACAGACTTTATGTCACAAAAGGGAAAGAGGGAGAGAATCGGCAACATGATCAGGACTTCTGGAAACAGGCAGTGCCAGAAAGAGAGAGACTGTTCAACAGAGTCTAGCTGGATTATTATTTTTTTTTAATGTTTATTGATTTTTGAGAGAGAGAGAGAGAGACAGAGTGAGTCAGAGAGGGACAGAGAGAGAGGGAGACACAGAATCTGAAACAGGTTCCAGGCTCCGAGCTATCAGCACAGAGCCTGACGTGGGGCTCAAACTCATGGACCGCAAGATCATGACCGAGGCCGAAGTCGGACACATAACCAACTGAGCCACCCAGGCGCCCAATAGCTGGATTGTTTTGATAACAAAGGAGTCTTTGCATTAGCACTGAGTTCAAGACTAGGTGCAGGTGATGACCATCTAAACTGGATGTTTCAAAGATGCTAGAAGCAAATGTCACGTACAGCAAGCCCCGGCCTGCACAGAGAACAACCCCAGCCCCTATTCCGTTGTAACCAGTTTCGAAATAAAAGGCTGCCTGCATGAAGTACAACAGAGAATCCATCAAATCAGAAAGCAGTTTCTGGGCTTCTGTGGAAACTCAGAGATGCAGAATAAAAAGTGCCTACAGCATGCTGTGGGGGGAGTGATGAAGAAAAGGGAGATAAATGGTCCCAGAGAGAAGAGAGTTCTAGAAAAAAAAGCTTCACTGTGTCAAAACTGCTCCTCTCTACTTTGAGTTAGTGTGGGAGTTAACCTTTAACACTCGATTTATCTGTGGTCAGTTCAAGAACTAGGGGCACCTGGGTGGCTCATTTGGTTAAGCCTCTGACTTCAGCTCAGGGCATGATCTCGCGGTTCGTGAGTTCGAGCCCCGCAGCAGGCTCTGTGCTGCCAGCAGGGAACCTGCTTCTGATCCTCTGTCCCCCTCTCTCTCCGCACCTC